GAAGGATCAATCCATCCTTTCACCAGTCCATTGGTGAATATGTAAAAAAAAATCTAGATTTTCATTGGTCCGCCAGTGACATGAAAAAAAAAAACAGAACTTCACCATTTCACTGGCCCACCAATGAAAACAGAAAAAAAAAAAAAGGTGAGGATTCACCAATCCTTCATGAGATAGTTCCTTCAGAAGTAGGCAGGCAATCCAGGATGAAACTGTCATGGAAGGCAGAGTCCAGTGATAGAAAAGGAGGGGACATTCTAGCCACAGTGCACGGTAGCTAACCTGAAAAGCAACAGGTGGACTGTATAGTGCCATTTAAGCTGTCAAAAGTCAGAAAACATTACTTTGGACGCAGAACATGAAAGGATGGGCAGAGGCGGGCTGGTGGCAGGTTGAGTTCAATGCTGTGCATTCCTGTCCTTGAGAAAGAGCTAGTGGGTTGTCCTTGCATTAAGGCAAGCAGAACACGCAGTGGAGCCTATTGTAACAAATTGCAAAAAGCAGCTTCATAATTTTATAGTGTTTTTTTTTTTGGTTTGTTTGTAAAATTGTCAGGCAGAATAGATGCTCTAAAGATCTTATTTTACTTTTTTAAAAAAAGACACTGAATCATATGCACCCATCCCACACATTATACATGTCATATCACCCAGACTATAAAACAAGCAAAGTTGCTTTTTTAAAAAATGACCCAATGCAAAACAAAGGTATGAGACTGCTTGTGTAAAGTTATTCCTAAATACCATTCCCATGAAAAAGTGACCAATGAAGCTGCAAAACAGCATCTCAAGGTGACACCTGATTGGATTAAATCTTAGAAATTCAACAAACACAGTTCGAGCAGATTTCTATCTTAAACTGCGTAAACCACAAGAGGAAGAAAGGTAGCTTAAAGATTGGAAAGAGAATGACTCTAGCCATAGATCATTTTATCTGGCATGTGCTAATTTCTAAGGCGGAGATTCCAGTATCTCTGATTGGTCGCTTTCCATCCAAGCCCATGTGACTGGCTGAGCCTTCCAGTTCCTCATAATTATTTGTTGCATCTCCCTCTGAGTCCTATACAGGCTGCAGAGGTACCACAGCTGGCTAGAATTGGGGATTGCGAAGGTAGGTTGTTGGGATTCTGAAAATAATAATCTAGGAGTTGGAGTTTGGGTTGGATGTAATGGCTTCTGTTTTAACTATAGGTTTTAAAACTTGGCAGGGGGCTGTATGGCTTAAATATTGGATCTTAATATTTAGGGATCCAGACTAGCTTATTAGAGAGGATAGTTTTGAATTCTAAAGCGATAAAACTATTTTGTATTTTAAAGAATGTTTTGTAACCATTAATTTAAGAAATGAGCCAAGATGCTGAGCATCACATTGACTTTTCTATGAGTACTGGACACTAGCAGCTGCAGAAAATTAACCACATCACAAAAATGGTATATTGTGTCATGAAATCAATGAGGGTTGTGAAAAGTTTGCAGTGATCGCATTTTGTCAGCAGGAAACAAGAGCAAGGAAGACAAACATGAATGATTTCTTCAGAATAGTCCTTCAGGTTAAGCAGAATTTCCCTTTAACTGGAAAGGGCAGGTGCTCGGTTGATCTTTCCTAATAATTGCACAAGTTCCTGCTTGGCAAATATTTATATCTGGCTTTAGATTTGGGGTTCCTTACATAATATTGTACAACCTGGTTTGCCCAAATGAAATGAGTGGGTTATTGTGATTAAAATGAGAGTTGGGTCCTAATCCATTTGTCCCTGGATAAGAGGTGATAGTCCCCCAAATACATTTCATTCTAGTCCTGAAATTCCAATTGCTATTCTTCAAAGGCAGTTCAGGGCAAAAAGGCAGATGGGCTACTAGATGACTTGGCTTAGGAAGATTCATGCTGAACATTTTTCCCCACTTGTGCCTAATTGTGGCACAAATATATCCTGGCAACACTTCTGCTGTGTCCCCATGGCACTGCTTTTATCTTTTCCCCAGCCCATGAACCAGACAGACTTAAATCTTCCTTAGCTGTCCCCATGTTAGCAGTTCTCTTAAATCGGCAATATGCAATGACAACTGCAAGGAGTATATGATTGCTTACACTTTGCCACACGTTATGTCAAAAGGGAAGTCAGGTAACTAGTAGTGGTGAATCAGAGAGGTTCTTACTGGCATAGAGGTTCAGAATGATGCAATCATCTCTCCCCTCTGGTTCCTGCTTAACTTTGCTTGCCATCATTCTGTTCTTGTCTTTCTAAAAACTGGACGCTGCAGCATTGTAGTGGTGGTTCTTGAGATTTGTGCAAAAACAGTAGAGCTATATTTTCAGTATAGGGGTTCCCTTTACATTCCATTAACAACCCCAATCTAGTTGCATGCAAATAATTGCCTGCCATAAACCCATGTCTACCATGTGTCCAAATGGCACAGGGATGTCGCCCTATTGTATTCAGTGGGAACAACTGGTGCTGATAAATTTAAGGGTAGCCTGTCAGAACTGTGCAATACCATTAAGCTGCTCACTTGGAAGTACTGCAAGTGATGAACTCTGTGGTCCTAACTGGATTTGTATGAGGCTGAAGTAGTTTAATAGTAGAAGGATGGGACCAACTCTTCCTATTACCTTCTGAACAGAACATGAAGGAGTCTCAAAGATAGCAGTTATAATCTATATAAGGAAAGAAAGTGGAGGGAAATCCTAAATAAATAAAAGTGCTACTTGTGATGCCACCCTGTTGGTGACTCTTCTTTATTTATTTATTTATTATCCAACTTGAGTTGCAACAAAGTGGAGCATAGGAGGAAGGGCTCGTGAAGGAGCTCAGAGCTGTCAGAAAGAGTCCTGCAGTCTGTGATAGAGTTAATAAGGATAATTGTGTAATAGTGAGCATATGCTTTGCCTGCAGAAGAACCTTGCTTCAAATAATGGCATTTCACCAATGACTGGCCAAAACTCCTACTGATACCCTGAAGGGCTACTGACTCTCAATGATGACATGCTGAGCTAGACAAACCAGTGGTCTGACTTGGTATAAAGCAGATGTCTTGAGTATAGTAGAGATTCATGAAGCTGTTACTCATAGTCTGAAGTGCTGTTGATTTTTGATTTATCTTCTCATATAGGATGGCATAAAATACCTTTGATATATATATGACTTGCAATATAACAAAAGTATTTGCAAGGTCCTTCCAGTTTAGCACAACTTAACCTCCATTTCCATGCAGTCAAAAATAATTTATGTGCATCTTAGCCAGTCCTCTGCTATTAGTGTTTAATGTCACCCAACCTCAAATCTTTGAAAGATCAAGATTTTTGCTTTTTGTTTGGTTTTTCCTTCAGAGAGAAAAAGGGGAAACAATTGTGTATCTTTTTTGGCTGCCAAGTTGCAACATATTTATCTACTAAATTTTATAGCATGGATTAAAAAAAAAAACTGAGCATGTCTAGTGCATTCTAGATGTATATTTGAGTAATGAAATGCTCTAACAAAACATTCCTCATGTTCATGACCAACCATTTTCTGTCCAAAATTAAATTCATTCCAAACCAGTCCTGCTAGTTTGTGTATGATATGTTCTTTCAACAGTTGCAGGCTCAAAATCCACTGTCCATAGCAAGGATGGAAAGGACAAAGCATCATAAAAGCTTGAGACATTGACCCCCGTGAGAGTGGAAGCTGGAGTTGCAAATAGAATTTACAGGCTCTAAATATTTATATAACTAAATGTCTAGTTCACAAACAAAAATGTACACCAGAGGATTGATACATATATACATACATTCATAGGGTATAGTCAAAAAAGTAAAAATGGGTATTATATTACAAGTTATATTTAAACTAGATTGGAAGTGGCTAAATATAAGAGTATACGGAACGGGTTTTTGGAACTGCCATTCCCTCAAGAGATATATTTATCTCTTCCTATATTCAGATTAATTACTCGAGTTAACTCTTTTGGTTAGAATTTTCAGGAAAAGGCAACACATTCTCTTGTTGTAGAAACCAGCCAAGGTACCACTCCTTGTTACTTTATCCCACTTCTGGAACAATTGTTCCTTTAAGGTTGTTCTCTACCTATTTATTTATTTATTAAATTTGTACGACCACCCATCTCAAATGCATGACTCTGGGTGGCTAACAATTCAAAACATAATGAAAAGAGTAAGCAAAAACCACTAAATAACATAGGATAGCGGCCAGGCAACAACATACAGTGAACAACAAGAAATGGGCAGTAATTGGTAGTTACTCATCTCCTTCCCTACCAACTAGCAGTTTTCCAACTCAGCAATCTGCCTTGACTTTTGTTTTCACTTCAGAACATTTGCACTGTATCTGCCATGGATGAAGCCAGATGTCTCTCTGTGAGCTGTGTAGAATCACCATATCTGAGTTGGAAAAATCCAGAAGATTATTAGATGGCACTAAATAACTCTTTGCTGACATTTACTAGTTGTCCACATTTTTAGAGTCCAGATACAGCGGCCCTATTCTTGTGGGTCCACAGACCTTCTTCCCCGATCAAGTGTAACAATCTCAAAAATAAAAAATTGAGGGAGGGGGAAAGGCTGAACATTTTATCACAACCTCCACGGATATCATATTTCCACTTTATCTCTTTGGAGGTTGAACAATTGAATAAAGAAAATTGCAGGACTCCCTCAGATTTAACAGTGTCTCCTACCTCTTCCATAAACCATAGTTTACAATGGCTAGATTCACATTTTATGAAAAATCAATATCAAGCCAGATTATATTTTAGTGTGTGAGCTTAGCTGCTGACTTGCACTTCTGTTCCTGCTTCTTTTCTTCCAAATGCTGTGACCTTCTTCCCACAATAAATTGGCAAACAAGATATACTTTAAAAATATATTGTAAGTGATCATCCTCATGAAAAGTTATGTATTTTTAGTAATAATTATTTTCTTACCCGTGGCAAAACAAATTGGCCATTTTTCTATAAATACTCCCCACTCACCCAAACCACCTTTTTTCCTCTCTCTTTCTTCAGATGGAGACATATTCCTTCTGTGGGATCTTTTTTTGTGCTGTCTTCGTGGCCCAGATCTTTGGATATCCATACAATGATATTTCGATAGATTGTGACTCCATGTTACCAGATCATGGACATGCCCCACAGACCTCAAGCCCACCTTATGTCATCTCCGTCTCCTTTGATAGATATGATCCTGGAAATGAAATACAAGGTAACAAAAGGGGGCAAGGGTAAAATCTAGCTCAGAAATTGACAGTTAATTGGTAAGTTATGATCAAATCCATCTGACTCTGAACAAGTTTATCTGTCAATAGCTTTTTCAATGGCAGTTAAAATTTGCCATATAATTTGTTCCTTAAAAAAATTAAAATATTAATGTTTTGAAGCTGTAAGAAATTAGGATATTTAGCAGGATTTAGCTGGATGTATGGTACAATTTTTATGAGAGCCAGTCCTGTCAGGCTAGTTACTGGCTCCTGCATCACAATTTGCTGGAATTTGCATAAAAGCATGAAATACAAAGTATAACACTGTACCTTAGGAGTGTGCAAGCTCTCCGTTAAAACAAATGTATTGCTCTTATTACCAAATAAATAAATAAAATGAAACGATGTGAGCAATGCATGCTGATATATCTCATTGCTCACCATGCATTCAGGGATGTGTTTTCAGACTGCTGTGGCTGTCTCAGAAACCAGCATAGAGTGTTTTGGATTGCATGTCTTCTTATTTGTTCTCAGAATTAGCAAATGCAAAATATCAATTAAATGCAATTTAGGAGAGGTTATTAAAAGGTGCTTTATTTGTATAATGGTGGAAGTTGCAAGTTACACAATTAGTTTTCTTGATTATTTTTTTAAAATATATACCATGCTGTCTTAGAACTAGATAACTTGATGCTGAGGAAAATTAGATGACACTAAATAGGTGAGCAGAAGTGGTAGCAGCTTTTCTCATCCTAGCAATACTTGACCTGAAAATCTTCAGCCAGCTTTTACATTCTTTTATATCTGAATACACGCGTTTAAAACCAGTCTTGATGCACTGCCCTATGGATTATTTATTCCAGCAAAGAGTACACTGTGTGACTACCACTTAACCTTCAGGAAATAAAATCCCTCACTGAGTGTCCCAGATTTTACTTCCATTTTTAAAATGGAAGTAAAAAGTAATTAAAATATGCATCAGGGGTTTTCTTTCTAAGTCTAACGAACCAAAAAAAACCTAATGCTATGAGTTATTTATCTATTGGTTTTCCCTAGTGGTACTAGATGCAACGACACCATCTGGATTTAAAGCATTTATGGTGCAGGCCCGAGAACTTGATGGAAATGTTCCTGTTGGTACATTTCGTATTGTGGATCCAAACACACAAGGTCTTCCATGTGCCGATATGACGGTATGTGTTCTTTTGTTCAGGGAATGTATTTATACTATGCTGTCCTTTGGTTATTTGTTCAGCCAAGTCCCTCCATGGGATGGAATGTAGACATAGCCCTGGGAGTGGGGAAGAAATGAACAAAATGTTAAAAGAAAAGTTTCAAGAAATATTGCTCCGTCCTGAGAAAGAAGAAAGCATGAGAAAGAAACTCAGAAGAATCCCGCTTTGATTTTGTTTGGTCTACAATGTAGTAGAGAAAATCTCTGACAGATTTTCCAGATTCTGTTATAATACCCTACAACAAAGAGCATTCCTGAAATTCCTACTCCTCCTATTGCTTGACTTTGCCTCTCTCAAAGGGCTGACACTCCATTTATTTCTGGTTTGTAACACTTAAGTTATACCTTTTTTAAGATGGGCATGTAACACTGCGTGCAGCATCTGACACCAGAATACATCCATGCATCTTTCACTGTTGTTCTCTGCAGTGTGCTAGATAATTCTCCACCTGTATATCAGCCTGTCATTACAAGCTCTTGTTTAACGCAATAGAAAATATTGCATTTACCTTGGAAAGGAATCCAAAATCATGGACATTGAAAAAAAATAAACGAAACTCACCCCTCAAATGTTCTTATGTGAATTTTGTTACCAAATATTCTTTGAATATGTAGATATTCAGGAAATGATATTCAGTGTTGGCATTTGATATCTATTAATGTGACAATATACAAGACTGAAATGTGACTGCAGTCAATAGTTGCATCTTGCACATTATAATTAGTACTCTACAAATTTGGAAATTTATTTAAGTTGTAAGATTTAGAGAAGTCAGCAAAAACAAAACCCAGTCAAAGCTGGATAAAACATTGCATTTCAGGCCTGAAATCTAAATGTCAAACCTTACAACCAGATGTAAAAATTAAAAGTAGATTAGCAAAATTTTTAAATTAAGTGCATCTTCCTAGCCGCCCAAACCTAACTCTTCTATAATAGTTTTCCAGAAATATAAGGATGGGTGTGAGAGCTAATCCATATATGCTGATAAACCAATATTGCTCTGAATTTAAGCTGATTAATGATGGAATCAGGGAAGAAATAGTTTTCAAAGTGCCTTGTCAGCATTTTATTTTGATTCCCTTATCTGAAAAATTGAGAACTGAAAGTTTTTCAGAGCTACCATATCTGGACTGCAAAAATCCAGACAACCACTCTGCAGTCCCTCAGTGGTGATTTGGATTTCTGCAGTTCAGATATGATAGCCCTAAATAGTTCAAAGAATACTGAATTAATTGGTTTTATATATGGTGACTGCAACAAGGCTACTATATGCACAAAGATGGAAAAATGCGGAAATACTCACAATGGAGGAGTGGACTGTGAAGATGGTAGAACTTGCTGAAATGGCTAAATTGACTTGACTGATTAGGGAAGAAACAATAACTACTTTTATAAAAGACTGGAAACCTTTTATGGATTTTTTGCTGAAAATGGACAAAAATAAATAGGTGATCTTGGGATTTACTGATTAAAAAGGGTTGTTTATGGGAAGAAGGGAACCATGATATATAATTTGGTAGGGCAGAAACAGCAACAACCATGTTTGTAACTGCTGCAAAGAAGACTGGAAGTCACTACTTTAAATATTTTTCTTTTTCTTTCTCTTTTTTCCTCTCTTTGACTACTACTGTTTTTCACTTTGCCTTTTATCTTTCCATATCTTTTTCTTTCTTCTAATTTTCTCTTTATATTTTTGTAGTTTTTAATATTGTATAAAATTTTATATGTATGTAAACAAAAAATACTGAGTTAGATGGGGTAATGGTTCTCCATGATCCTAATTTCAGTTATGATACTGTATTTGTTTCAAATAATATTGTTGACTTTTGATCAAATGCATGTATTTTAAAATGCTTATACAACCATAAACAATTTAGACAGGATTGACATTTTAGCAAGCTGTCAATTAGATAGAAAAACTAATGTTCAAAAGCTCTTCTTAGTATTATTATCTGAATAAAGATACCTAAGGATAGCAGGGAGAGGGGAGGTTTTTGTTTTTTTCAGTGTGTTCAAGGCATTGTTGACTCCTGGTGGCTGCCTGGACTAGTCCCTGCAGTTTTCATGGCAAGATTTCGGAAGTGGTTTGCCATTGCCTGCTTCCTAGGGCTGAGAGGGTGTGACTGGCCCAAGGACACCCAGCTGTCTTCATGCCTAAGGCAGGATTAGAACTCACAGTCTCCCAGTTTCTAGCCCAGGCCTTAACCGCTCCACCATAACTAGCTCTCTAAGGATGGGGTTAGACATCACAAAGACCCTTTGAAAGTAGAAAGAGTTTGAGTCCTTGAGTAAAGTCTACGCACCCAAACACATTGGGCAGTCTCAATAAAACGTAGCTAAGACAGTTGGAAGATAATTTCTTCCCCTTTGCTGAAGAAGAACCAGTCCCAACTTCATTCCTAATCAATAATGATCAGCATGTGAGTACTTGCTACCTAGCTGCACCCAATTGCTTCTGCTAGCAGAAGTGACTTAACAAATCAGGCCTGGTTTGTTCCGTGTGGTAACTAAACTAGGTTCCCTAACTTGTCACTTTGTTAACAAGCATAATCTGAACCCAGAATTTCTTACCTTTTGATTCCTGGCGTCTTTGGAAGTAACAAGCTGGGAAACCTGGTTTGAACATATGATTATATATTTCTTGATTATTTAGCTGCTCCCCTTAGTTGAAGAAGCTAAGGAAAAGGGATTAGACAGCATATATCACCACATTACTTGTTCTCAATCATACAGCATTTGGCTTTTATCTATACAGTGTTCCTTTTTGTTAATGAGCAAAGCATGTATATATTTTTTCCAACAATTCTTAACTGCATCTCTTTTCTATTTTCAGAATTCAGCAGTAATTCACATCAACCCTATTATAAAGCATAGGATTACAACTACTTGGATTGCTCCTCAGGGCACTAGAAAAATAAGGCTTGTGTAAGTGGTGACTTTTCTGCTTATTAAGAGACTTCTTTTAAAAAAATCAAATGAATTAAAGTTGGTGCTTTTGGTCAGTAGATCTGTGAGAAATATTTTTCACCTGCTGGGGAATTTTGGCAGGGAGGGGAATCAGTAAATGGGGTAAATACATTCAGGTGAATAAGATCAAAAAGCTGGGATAATTCCATGCTTCTACATATGCCTAAAAGAGAATTATGGTTTGAGTGTAACAGTTGCCTCCCAGCTAAAAATAACTAGTCTGTTTAACCTGCTCTTGGTTTTTCCTTGTTAAAGATCAAGTTAATCCAGACTATGAGCCAAAACTGTAATGCAAATGATCCTGTGTTTAAGATATGACATACCTTGTTAGAGAAAAACCGTCCTGTCATGAATAATATCTCTATTTTCCTCTTTCCCAGGGCAACCTTTGTTCAAGATTACAATAACTACTGGGTCGGTGTTCATAGTAAAACTCTTTCACCCAGATATGTAGAAACTAATGAGTTTATGGTAACGAATAGCTCAGTACTAGCCAACGATTCCATAACATCTGTGGTTTCTGAGATCACAGCTGATTCTGACACATTCAGTGAAAGTGACGAAGATATTGATCTCAGTGCCCTTATTGCTGACTCTGAAGGAGAATATGAATCCAATACACCTGTTGGTTCCCAAGATCCTGAAAAAAGAAATACAACAGGAAAAAGTAGGAGAAAGGTATCTATTAAACATTGATGACTCTTTACCTTAATATAATTTAATAGAGGGAGATTAATTGAATAGCAGAAATACATTTAAAAAAATAATGAAGAATATTCTTTCTCATGTGCATATTAAGTAACTATAGCAGCTTGCTCTTCTGCATGATTACTTCCAGCCTCAGGAAGGATAGTCTCAGCATAGGAAGACTTATGGAACAGTATCCTACAATAGACTAAGACAAAACCAAACAATCTCCACAGTGGCGTAACACAAAGTCATTGTGGTTTTTAAATCATTGTATATGGCTTACACAATCTGAATCCAGCTGGTGGTAGCTTAATTGACAAACTACAGTTAAATCATAACTTAATGTGATGAATGGATCCAATCTTGATGTGACCACTTTGGAATATGAAGCCAGTACTAAGTTTTCCCTTAATGTTGTCATAGTGGAACAGTAATCAGGTCACATAGCCATGCCACTTGTTTTCTTCAGTTCATATCAAAGGTGGGAATCTAAGCTGATGCTGACAACAATAGAAATATTATTATGATTTTTTAAAAAGCCTTCAGAATTCTAGATACAAGCAATTAGAATGTAGAACTTTCATTGGTGGTGAATTCGAATGTTCCACTTAAGAAGTATCTGAAGTTATGTAATAGCTATTTAAGTCGTCATAGAGATGCCTAAAAACAGCATAGTATCTATACATATGTCTATATTAACTTGTAAAGGACAGCCAACAAATCATTGCGCTGTGTATGTCTGGGCTCCATGTGATAAGAACTGCAAAAAGTAACAGCAACATATGCATCTGAACTTGGGTTAAAAAATGGGATAAAAATAAATAAATGCATTATAAATAATATAGAAGTAAATAGAAGTAAACCACACACATACGTATATGGATTTGCCTTGATAGGCTATCTATACTATTCATGTCTTAGACACCTCCGAGCTGGACTATTATTATGCACTCTACATGGGCCTTCCATTGAAGACCATCCAGATCTGCAATCGGTCTGGAATGTAGGGGTGTGAATAGTTACAGGCACACAACAGTACAGCCATGTAGCACCACTACTTTGAGAGCTGCACTGGCTTCCAGTAGGTTTCAAGATGCAACTCAAGATGTTGGTTATCGCCTACAAAGCACTACATGGCACAGGACCACCTGTCTCAGGTTATTTCTGCCTCTCTCACATGCCTTCAAAGGATGGGCACGTTCCAATTCCCTTCCTTGAGGCAATGTCATCTGAGGGGACCTAGGAAGAGCGCCTTTTCTGTTGCAGAACCTGCCATTTGGAACTATTTCCTCCCTACCCCAAGATTTGGATTGCCCTGACCTTGTTAGGTTTCAGGATAGCTTTAAAAACTTGGCTTTTCCAATGGACATTGGGCCAGGCCAATAGATGTTGGTATCTTCTGGGAGGCAGAGCATACAATTAAAGAGTTCCAGCTATACATTGTTGGTTGTGTAAGTTTATGGATTTCATCTTTTGTTGATATGGGCTTTTTTTATTTGTAATAAGGTTGGGGTGTGTGTGTCTTTTATTTGATGTACGCTGCCCAGCATCACAATTATGCAAGTTAGGCAGCTTTATAAAACATAGATAAATCAGCAAGCAGTTTTGAGGGATTGTAAAAGGTACTAGTTCTCTCATAATAGACAATTAAGTAATTATTGCGGTTTTAGCTACTGGCTTTGATTGTATTGGGTCTAAATGTATAAACAAATGCCCAAGGATTCTTTAGTTGTTGCCAGCAGTATAAAATGCTTCAGGTATAAAAGAAGAAAACAGGATCATAAGGAAAGTATAGGATACAGAACCCCATCCTTACAGAATTGGGCATCCTTTCCTAGCTTGATAATAGCTTGCACTACAATAATTTGTAATATGATTCCTATTATGTAAAGTAATAACCCTTTTTGCTCTTCATTTCAGTCAGTTCTGACTCTGAATATAAACTGTGGTGAGGTATGAAACTTTTTTTCTAAAAAAAATTCTGATAGAACACTATCAATTAACTCTTGTTTTTAGTTGTACCAAGAAATACTGTATAGCCAACATCATGTTCAGGTGTTGTATGGTGTTCTCCAAATATTTTGGGCTTCCACATTCTTGACTACATTGTCTGGGCTTGATGGGAGTAGTAGTCAAAACATCTTCTCAAAGTTGTGGGACTTTAAAAAAAAAACAGAACAGCAGACATCTGCCTTGTTCTTTTAAAATAGAGATACAAAACTTTTATCAAGGTCTGTATTATATGACCAGGGAAATGGCACTTTGTGAGTCTGCATTCCAGCTGCAGGCAAGCCAGAGGCAAAGTGAATGACATTATAGATGTGGCTCTTTTTTGCAATACTTAATTTTCACCAGGTATTCTTCCCAACTCATGCAAGGCTCTTGCTATCAGCTTTATAAATGAGAAAGTGCCAAGATGAAGTCAAAAATATAAATAAAGACAGTACAGAATACATAGGTCTAGAATGAAAGACCTGGAAATTGGCTTAGCAAAAGGACTTTATTGTAGATCAGTGTTTCTCAACCTGAACATCTTTAAGATGCGTGGACTTCAACTCCCAGAATTCTCACGCACGCACGCGCGGAGAGTACGTAGGTAGGTTAGGTAGG